CACGCACACACACACACACACACACACCCTTGACCAACCATACTTACCCAAGTCTAAAATATCCCATTTTTATCCAAGTCTAAAATATCAGTATGTAGGCTTTGACTATGATTTCTCTTTTTTATATATATTTAAGTAATTTATTTTCATTACTTATTTTTAATAGAAATGCTGCTCATATACTTCTTTTGCAGTCTATGATGTAGAGTATAGGAAAATCTTCTACTGAAATATGCTAGGGCAAAAATATTGTCTACCAGTCCAGTATTCTTGCTTGGAGAATTGCATGGGCAAAGGAGCTTGGCAGGCTATAGTTCATGGGGTCACAAAGAGTCGGACATGACTGACTGACTCAGCACACAAAAATACCACCACTCATACTGAGCACCTAAAAAAAATCTGACATGCAGTTTAGGATTAAAAGATACATATTTTTAGTGATTACAAAATTCAACACTAAGTTTAACTATATGAGATACAATAATGACATAGTTAAATAGATAATTTCATATATAATCTTGCCAGATTACAGTAATTATAATCATGAGTGTTATGAAACTTTGAAAGAATAACAGTAAATGATTCCATATTAAAAATATGAAAATGAAGATGTACTATACTAAAACTTCAGGCATTTAACTCAGGCTGAAAATATTTTTTAAAAGTGACAATGCTTTTCACCATTTGATTTAAAGAAGCAAAAAAAATTGAATAGAAAAAGATTATACACGATAGATTCAATTTCTAAATCATGTATCATTTTAATAAGTAAGTGTGTGTGGATGCTAGAGCCACATTAAAGAAGGAAAGTGTTTTCACAATTTCTGAATTTAGAAAGAGATTTCTATGCTGGAAGGAAAGGCTGTTTGTTGTTGATGTTGCTTAGTCACTGTGTCCAAATCTTTTGAGACCCCATGGGCTGTAGTCTGCCAAGCTCCTCTGTTCATGGGATTTCCCAGGTAAGAATACTGGAGAGAGTTCCATTTCTTTCTCCAAGAGAAGATACCTAAGTTTCAAAGTTTCAGTGACTAAATATTCCTACCCTAGTCCTCACTTGCTCCCCCATCCTCCTTGCTCCCCACCTTTCTCTCAAAGTCAACTCAGCCTCTCACTTGTAAATAAAATCTAGGTAATAGTCAATCAGAAAATCTGTGCAAAACCAGACAGGCTAGGGGGTTACACAATAAAGAACCAAGTTGGAACAGAAAGCAGAAAAGAGAGCCTGTGGGCACGAACTGAAAGGAGAGCCCAAGGACTCTGCTGTCAGAGACGAAAAGTATATGTGAAGTGTATTTGAGAGTATCTGAAGGTAGGAGAAACAGAAAAAATAATTTCAAAGTATTTTTCCAGGAAAATTTATTTTGCAAATATAACATTTCCTTGAATTTGACCTTGTTCCGAAAAGGACATGTCGCATCTGGGCTTGATACATAAGTATCATTCCTTATTCATAATTTCTCAGTAATGGGAAATCACTAGTATAATGGAAATTTAAAATATTCTCTAGAATAACAATAGTGATAAGCTGTCCTAAATTAACTTCTTTATAATTTCTCACTCTAATATTCCTAGGACATTCTGGCCAAAAACTATGCTGGTTATTATATTATGCCCCCAAAACAGCATTTCATACAAGCTTTGAGAAATCTAAAATATTAATTTCTACAGAAGGTGTGAAAACCAACTTCTAAGCATAATATAAGTGAAAGTTAAGGATGGTTAAGGGAACTAAATAGGAAAATGTAACTTGTCTGATGACAGATAAATCTTTGAGAAAATAGCCTAGAGGCCAGTTAATAAAAACCCTCTGTAGTAGAAGAGGTTCACTATATTGACGGTGGTGATATTTTCATGGTACACATCTGTCAAAACTTATCAAATTTACCAAAACTTATCAAATTTATCAAAACATCACACTTTAAATGTGTGAAATTTTTTATCTCCCAGTCAACCTAAAAAAAGAAAAAGAAAGTATCCAGGCTACAGATGCATGAACACAAGTGTCCATCTGCAATTCAGAAGGAATACCAGTTTCCAATAGCACATAGAAACTTGGAAGCTATTATGTTGCTAAAACACATATATAAATATATTCCATCCACATTAGATGAAATATGTAAAATTTAACACTTTGAATTAAAGAAACAATTTATATGAGTGTTATGTAAATAGAATTAACATTTAGATTTAAGAACAGAATAGGAAGCACATGGCAGTATGAAGAAGGGTGATTATTGGTATGGAAAGATGTTTGGTATTTCCAGGGACCAAATATCCATCTGCAAATTGAAAAAGTGGCTGGTTTGCAAGTAGAAAGGTGATAGAACATTCAATCATCTATTCCTTCATTTAATCAACAAATACTTCTTAAAGTCTTACGAATGCCAAGCATTGCAAATCAATGGTTGCAAAAGAGACACAGGGTGTTCTCTATCTTCATTTATATCCAGTGTGGCAGAGAACAGAGCTATCAATTAAGCCACCTCACAAAAATTATATTATCCAGTGGAAAGTGACAAGGAAATATCCATGAAAGAGTATCACAGGAGTGTCAGGGACGGGTTCCCTGGGAAGGTGTTCTTTGAGCTGGGAAGTGCAGAATGAGTCTTTCTTAACTATGAGAGAGAAGACAGAATGTATAAAGACCCTGGAGAAGGTAAAACATGGTGCTTCTGAATAACTAAAATAGAAGTTGGTCAATTTAAGAGGTACCTAGGAGTTAAAAAATCTATGGGTCTTCATGGTAGATTGTATTTGGAAGGAAACGGAAGTAGTAAGCATGATACCAAGATTTCTGCAACTGAATACATATATGTGGCATCACTGCAGATGATAATGGCCATGAAATCAGATGATGATTGCTTCTTGACAGGAAAGTGATGACAAACCTAGACAGTGTATTGAAAAGCATAGACTTTACTCTGCTGACAAAGGTCCACATAGTCAAGGCTATGGTTTTCCCAGTGGTTATGTATGGCTGTGAGAGCTGGACAATAAAGAAGGCAGAGCACCAAAGAATTGATGCCTTGGAACTGTGGTGCTGGAGAAGACTCCCGAAAGTCTCTTGGACAACAAGGAGATCAAATCAGTCAATCTTAAGGGAAATGAACCCTGAATAATCCTTGGAAGGACTGATATTGAAGCCAAAGCTTCAGTATTTTGGTCATCTGATGCAAACTGCTGACTCACTGGAAAAGTTCCCGATGCCAGGAAAGATTGAGGTCAGAAGGAGAAGAGGGCATCAGAGGATGAGATGGTTAGATGGCATCACTGATGCAATGGACATGAACTTGGGCAAACTTCAGGAGATGATGAAGGAGAGGGAGGCCTGGTATGCTGCAGTCCATGGTGTCGCAAAGAGTCAGACATGACTGGGAGACTGAATAACAACAAATTTGGCATTTATTAGACAGAAAACAGAGGACAGAGGTGAGGGGGAGGTAGGTGTTTGTTCTAATTTCATGATTTCCTAGAATTTTCCACTAAAACTGCTGAACAAGACCACATCAAAATTTAAAATGTCTGTGTATCAGAGGATAGAATCAATAGAGTCAAAAGGTAGCCCACAGGAAGGGAGAAAATATTTGCAAAACAATATCTGATAAAGGGTCTACTCTTATAACTCTATAACAACAAGGCAACGGGCTTAAATAAACATTTATCCAAGGAAGATATAAATATAGCCAACAAGCACATGAAACAATGCTCAGTATAGTCAATCATTAGAGAAATGGAAATCAAAATCACAATGAGATATCATCTGACATCCACTGTGATTACTACTATAAAATTTAAAAAAAAAACACAGAAAATCACAAGTGTTGCCAAGGATATAGAGAAACTGGAATGCTTCTGCACTATTAGTAGAAGTATAAAATGGCAAGACTGCTATGGAAAACAGTAGAGAAGTTCCTCAAAGAATTAAAAATATAACTACTATATGATCTAGCAATATCACCTCTGGATGTAAATCCAAAAGAATTGGAAGTAGGGTGATAAAGAGATATTTGTATACCCATGCTCATAGCTGGATTATTCACAATGGGCAAAAGGTTAAAGGCACACAAATGTCCACCAACAGATGGGTGGATTAATGAAATACAGTATAAATATACAATAAAATAATATCCAGCCCTAAAAAGGAAAGGCATTTTGACATATGCCACAATATGCATAAACCTTGAGGACCTTATGCTAAGTGAAATGAAATCAACCACAACACAATAAGACAAATGCTATGATTCTACTTGTATGCATCTAGAGTAGTAAAACTCATCAAATAGTGATTGCCAGTGGCTTGGGAAAAGGCAAACTTGGAGGTTGTTTAATAGGTATAGAATTTCAGTTTTGCAAGGTGAAAAAGTTATGGAGATTAGTAACTCAACCATATGATTATACTTTATATGACCAAACTACACACTTAAAATGGTTATAATAATATATTTTATGTGTATTTTACTACAATTAAAAATTTTTAATATACTAAATAGTATTATTGATAGCTTCCTAGCTATATAATTGATCAATTGGTAGCTAGTTAACCAGATAGATTTTTGAGAAAAGTCATGAACTGAAAATAGAAATTTGGGAATCATACGAAAGCAATAATAATTTTCTTACACTGTATTCTTCTCCTCCCTTCATCTATCAAATCTTTAATTTTCAGTGACTTTATAAATACAAAGGCTTCTCATCCTATCCTCCCCAAAACCTGTTTGACATGAGAGGCTGGTTTCATCAACCAGGTGAAAACAATTTGAAGAGCAACAGCAGACACGGAGTGTCTGTAGCTGTGTTAAACTGCCACAACAAAGAAATTTCTACCTGCCTATAAACCTAATTCCAGCAAAATTAAAAATGAGAAGTGTATATAGAGGTGAAAAAAAAAATAAGACTACTCTTTTGAGTAGTCTTATTTAAGAGTAGTCTTATTTTTCTAGAAAAAAATCCACTGTTTAAGCATCATATTCATCCCTCTAAAATAATATTATTCTTCCTACCTTGTTTGCGTACATCCTCAACGGCAGCAACCAGTTCTTCTTTGAGATCTTGACTCTCCTTAGCAATCTGTTCACCTTTTTCCAGAAAGTTCTGAGTGGCTTGCTCTACAGATGCGGCCAGTACATGGGCTTTCTTTGACCTTCCTTTCTTTTTACCGGATGGGCCTTTGTTGCTTGTGTTGACAAGTGTTGTCACCTTAAATACAAAAGAACAATTGTAAAATTGCTCTGCATAACTGTCCAGAAATAGTGTATTATTATCTCATAATTTTAAAATATCCTTTGTATATTAAATCATGAATACATATCACATAGCCTCATCTTAAGGAAAATGTGGAATTATATGGATTAGCATATAAATTAATAGCTATTTATTTCCTGCAGGGAAAAAAAGGATGTGAATAAAGGAGGAAGAGCAGACTTGTAAGTAGATCAAAATTTTCAACCCCCTGGAGGTTGTGCTTTCACAGATTGACAAATATAGTGCTGGTTAGAGTACCTAGATTCAGGGAGGAAAGAAAATAGAATAAATGGTGGAACTGCCTTTGAGCTTTCAGTCAGGAAAACCAGTACCCAAGTGAGCTCAAAAGTGAGGACAGAGATGAAATAGTAGTTAATTAATGGTGGACCATCAAAATGCATGATTTATGTGTCACTTTCCATAGGCCTTAAATGAAGATTCTTGCTATTTCCGATTTCATCTTATAAAAACAATGTGGTAAATTTGATCCGAAGAGCCTGAATGACTCAGTCTCAACATTTGGTTAACCTGCAAAAATTTCCAGAATAGAAATTAGATTTGCATTATCACTCCTTTTCTAGGTATCATAATTTGGATACATATTTCAATTGCCAAACTTCTTTTAGTGCTACATCTAGAGCAATTCAATCTGCTAACAAAGCTTTTAATATCTTTTAAATACCTTATCTCCTATTGACTTCTGAATATTTTGTGCCAGTGAGAAGTCTGGGAGGGAAATGAATGCAACTGTTTCATATTCTCTTTAGCTAGTCATCTACACCTCTGCATTATTTTTATCAGATTCATAGGAATGTGGGTGTTGTAGTTTATTTGCACTGAGGTGTCTATCCTGCTTAGCAAACTAAAGCTTTTATTGGAAGTTATCAAGAAAGCTAGTCCACAGAAAAGTTCTAAATGCTTCAGTCTCTGCTCTTTACTCCAAATTACAGAGCAAGCAAAGAGATTTGGCAAGTTACAATCAATGTCTAGTCAGTTTATTGGGAAAGATATAATACCAGAAGGAAAAAAAAAAGTATTAAAAAAATGAACTAAGATGATGAATGAAGGAGAACCATTACTTCAGACATGGTTACTATAGAAATGGGAACCATCATATTCAGCTTTCTTCTGATTGCTAACTAATTAGATACAGAGAATTAAAGAAGGACTCTGTAAGGACATTTAAGCACAAAGACTAACTAAAAAAAGAAAGATAAAATCATTAAGAATAAGACTGCCAAAAATGGTAGTTAGCTGTAAAATGTATATGGAGTCAGTCACACTTTAGAGTCTTTCCAGTTCCACCTACAGAAAGTGCTAGTCATTCAGTTGTGTCTGGCTCTTTGCAACCCTAAGCACTGTAACCTCTGTCTGGAATTCTCCAGGCGGGAATACTGGAGAGGGTAGCTATTCCCTCAGAGAAGGCAATGACACCCCACTCCAGCACTCTTGCCTGGAAAATCCCATGGACGGAGGAGCCTGGTGGGCTGCAGTCCATGGGGTCGCGAAGAGTCAGACACGACTGAGCGACTTCACTTTCCCTTTTCCCTTTCATGCATTGGAGAAGGCAATGGCAACCCACTCCAGTGTTCTTGCCTGGAGAATTCCAGGGACAGGGGAGCCTGGTGGGCTGCCGTCTGTGGGGTCGCACA